TATATAATTTTCTTTATTTTGTTGTTGTTAAGGATATACACAGCAAAACATACACCAATTCAACAGTCTGTACAATTACCATTTAGTGATGTTGATTATATTCTGAAAGGTGTGTAACCATTCCACCCTCCTTTTCTGAGTTGTTCTTCATTCATTTACATAAATTCACTACCCGCTTATGTTTCTATCTGATCTTTAAATTGCTGTTCAATGATCTGAGAGTTTTGAATGTCAATAAATATAAGATGGTAGAATAATGGACCAGATAATCTTACAATGTCTCTCTTGGGCGTGAGACACTAAGATCTATGTGTATAATTTTGTTTATACCAGATTTTCTCTTTGCACATGAATTATTTTAATCATTTCCTTACAGAGGAAGAAAAGTATGCCTTCGTCAACTGGATAAACAAAGCCCTGGAAAATGATCCTGATTGTCGCCATGTCATCCCAATGAATCCCAACACAAATGACCTCTTTAACTCCGTTGGGGATGGCATTGTTCTCTGGTAAGTAACACTTTCTCCTTAATGTCTGAAGTTTCCCACCCATAAACTTGTCCATTCCCTAGAGTATAATCAATGACCTGTGTTTTCCTGGGCCAGCTTCTCCTGGTGCTCAGCGTGCACCTGAAATGTTTTCCTGGCCTTTCATTTGGCAGGTCCACAAGTATAAACTAAATTACAAAGGCAACTTATGATGAGCAATGTAAAACTGCTTTTGTGGAGGGGCACAGAGTAGCAATAAACATAGTATAGTAATGTAAAATCAACAACAGTAATTCTGGAATATATGCCAGTTTCGGTCATCTGAGCATGACCTACCGTGAGAGTACATGTTGTTATTATTGTTAGCTGCCAATGAATAGGCTCCATCCAACTCATGTGACCAATGACAACCGAATGAAACACTGTGGTCCTACACCATCTTCATGATCTTTGGTATGCTCGAGTCCATTGTTGCAGCCATTGTGCACTTGCGTGCCTCCCAACCTAGGGGGCTCATTTTCCAGCCCTGTATCAGGCAGTATTTCTGTTGTGATCCATAAAGTTTTTGTTGGCTGCTTTTCAGAACTAGAGTATCAGCCTTTTCTTTCTAGTCCAGCTTAGTCTGGAGGCTCTGCTGAAACCTGTTCACCATGAGTGACCTTGTTGATACTTGAAAGACTGGTAACATAGCTTCCAGCATCACATAAGCCACCCTAATACAACAAATGGGCAGATGGTGGTGAGAGCACATGGGGTTCATAATAACAGCATGAGAATCAAAGTAATCCAATGTGAGCTGTAATCCTTAATTAAAGGGACTTTTGTTGTACATATGTGTACAACACAACTACTCTAAACTCTAAACACAGTGCTGCTCAGTTCAGAATGCTGTCTTTGAAAATGCCTCTGTGGGTCCTGCCTTAGCAGCTTCTCTGCCACTGCAGAACACGGTGCTTGTGAGGAGGCTTGAAATACCCAGGAGGAGGTGGGCTCAGGAGTTGAAGGGAAAGACAGGTGGCAAGACTTTAAACTCCCCTTTCTCTGCTCTAACCAGAGCAACTCTGCTTTTGGCATTTTGTTGATTAGAGTTCAACATGCGATTTTACTTCAAAAAGGTTCAACTGCTAAAAAACAAAAAAAAAGGCATGAAAAAGTAGCCTGCACATTTATGTTAAGGGTGGTGGAATGATCTGGAAAAGCATAGCAAGAATGGTTGCACAGCTGGGAGAACGTGATCAGTGTCACTGACTTATACATGGAGAAATCGTTGCATTGATGCATGCTTTACTGTGTATATTTTCACCAAATGTTAATAATAATTAAACAGCAACAACCTCGCCTACAGAATCAAGGCCTGACTCCTTGGCTTGACAGCCAAGGCACTCCATGGTCTTCCTTTAATCTCCTAGTCTTACTTCAAAAGACCCAAATGACCCAGCCCAGGGGACAGCACGAATGATTGCTGGATTCACTACCAGCATCAGCAAGCCTTCTCTCCCCCCAACACATCCTGCTTATAAATTACAATTCTGGCTTTGCTTTTTATTTTCCCTTTTTAGCAGGTCCTTCCCCATCTTCTTCTCCTTTAAAAATCCTTTTACCATGAAGTTTTCTGGTCTATTCAGATCCTCAGTGATCTGTTCCTTCCCTGAATCCTTAAAGGACATGTTGTTTATAATACTTTGGGCATATTAGGATGTACCGCTTTAGGCTGTTGTGTAACTTTTTGTTACACAACATGTAATTCATCTCTATACTTCGACTGTCAGCTTTTCAAAGCAGAGACGAAGTCAGACCTTCTCTTTCACTCTTCCAGAGCTTCTAATTAACTACTAGTCTCGTATTTTTTGAATGATGATTTAGGAATTTGCTTTGTGTAAATTCAAATAAAATGCTTTTTATTTTAACATACATGTGCACACATGTGTACGTGGGTGGAAAAGTTGTGGAAATGTATCTGTAAGGAACAATAATAAAAAAGGTAGCTGCTTAACAAAATAATAGAGAAAATTGTGAATGCTTATTTTTCTTCTTAAAAAAGATATAGTCACAGCCAAGTCATGGCCAAATTTACCATTCCTTGATTTGTTGTTGCAGTCATCCCTCAGAATCCTAAGGAAGTTGGTTCCAGTACATCCATGGATGCCAAAAATCGTGGGTGCTTAAGTCCCTTACAAAAATGGCACAGTATTCACGTATACCTATGCCCATCCTCCCATATACTTTAAATCATCCCTAGATTATTTATAATACCTAGAGCAGCTCTGGTGGCGTAGCACCTAAGGCATTTGACTGCTTGCCAGATTGGCAGTTCAAACCCACCAGCCACTCCTGGGAAGGTGGACTGAGAAATCTACTTCTGTAGAGATACCACCTCAGAAAACCCAAGGAGGGGTCACTATGAGTGGGAAATGACTCCACAACAGTGAGTTTGGTTTTTAATACAATGTAAACGATATGTAAATGGAACTTTATGCTCCCTTTTAGCTTTTGAGGGATTTCTTTGGCCATTTAATTACTATTCCCCCACCCCCGCCCCCCAATATTTTCAGTCTGTGGTTGGTTGAATCCATGGATGCAGAATCCTCAGATACAGGAGACTGACTATTTCTTTTGGAATTTTTCATTTCAATTTATCTTCTTAAAATAAGATGGAGGTGACTTAAGGAAACTTATTTTTTGTTCCCCATTGAACATTGTTGTTGTTGTTGTTGTTATGTGCCGT